TGCATATCCTGAGGTCTACAAACTAAGGCCATATTAGGATGATGGTGAGTGAACTCTTCATTTTCCCATGCACGAACCTTTCTGAAAACAGCCTGGCAATATGAATCAAGGGTCTGAAGGGTGTCTGTTCCCGGAGAGAACAGGGGTCTAAGAAAGTATCAGGGGTGCAGATTTCAATGGGAAGCTGATTACCATAGTGTTACTTACAATAGGAAAATGTGCAAAGGATCTAGATGGCCCTACTATTAAGAAAGTAGTCAAATAGGTTTGGCTTCTCTAAGATGAAGGATTATTAGACAGCCATGAAAAATCATATTTGGGAAAACTGTGCTAATGTACTCACAGTAAGATGAACTCATGAATTAAAAAAATACATTAAAATACACACACACACACATTGATCTTGATCATATAATGTCTATACCTAGAAAATATACTGAAAGAAAATATGCTGGCTTATATTGGTAGCTGTCACCGGGTGGTACTGATTTCTTTTTCATCTTTATATTTTCATTTTTCCTGATATCTATAATGATTTTAAATTCACTGTGTAATCCTTAAGTATACTAAAGAAATAAATAAAGCTACGAACGAAAGACATTATATTGAATTCATGCAAAATGGTGCACAAGGCATAAATAAAACTGCAGAATGAAAACTGCTCTGTATTCAGGTAACATTTCAGAGAGTGTGATCAGTACACCAGCCTCACCCAGGATCCCAAAAGCCCTCAGAGGTGAGAGAAAGGCTCTAATGGGGTAGAGCAGCTTAGCTGCTATGACCCACTCCAGGTTCCACAGGCTCTTCTTCTAGATGAAATCACAGCTCAGGACAGCTTCTCCAGAGACAGAGGCTTACAGAATCCCTCTGTTAGCATTCATCTGTCTAGCCTCATAAAACATGACCTTGCAAGTCAATTTCAGCGGAATCTGAAAGAGGGGCAGAGGGCCCCAGGTAACATAATGCACCCAGAATCCACCCTCAACTCTGACAGGTGCAAACAGCTCTGCTTGTCTAAATATAAATTGACTTAGTTTGGAAACAGTCTTCCACGCTTTCTATTCTGACCAGGCCAAAGAATGTTCTCTCCTTTAGTTCCAACTCCTAACGCTGCTTATTTTAAATTAGACCCACTTGGCAATCATTTTCATTCACAGAAGAGCAACATCCAACTCCAAAAGAAAATAAACAAGTAGTCTTCCCAAAACTTGTGTGGGGATAGAATCTAGAATTGAGTTGTTCTTGAAATGTGTTTTAATTGCAGAAAGAGATAAAATATAAAGAATACTTTTACAGAATTTTCTGAATTAGAAGAAAACTGAAATGCATAAAGGAACATTGTCTAAAATTAAGCCAGGAAAAGGATGTAATTTTTTAATGAGCAGAGTGGAAATCATTTGTGGGATATACAGAACTCTGTGCCTTGACAGTTCCTGCAATGTTCGCTCCCATTCCTCCTAAACTCTAAAGCCTATTCGGGATCCTGCTCAATGGTCACGCCTCTGAGACTCATCTCTGACTCCCCCAGTCCCCGCTTCTCTCCCCTCTTTCCCACATAGGCAAATCGTTCTTCCCTTCACTCCCAATGCATAGAGAACTTATCTTACACACATTTATCCCACCTCATTACTTATTAGCTTATGAGCTCCTCAGAGGTAAGATTCTATTTCACTTGGTTTTCTATTTACAGACTGTGGCTTATGATAGTTCCTCCGTAAAGTGTTGTTGAACGAATGAGTGAATAGAAGGGAATGAAGGAGTGAGAGATGAGGCTGAGTGCAAGGAAGAAGACAGATTGACAGTCATGAAAAAGAAAGCTTTAGGAATGAATAATTTGGTATGCTTAGCCATCGCTAAATTTTTTGTGGCTTGGAATGGTTAGTTAGTTTGGCTTATTAAATGAAATGGAGGCTAAAACTCAATGTCAAACATTATAAAAGGAACTGGGAATATATTGACTAAAGGGTTGAAACTTCCCATTTCCCCTTCCTTTTTGTGTTGCTATGAGGTGACTGGGTGAGGCCGAATCATCCCTGAGGGTCTGTCCAGCTCTCCGGTTCTGAGGCTCTGGGACCGCTGAAGAGTCCTTCAGGGCTTACACTCCAGGTCTATTCTGCTCACAGAGGAGACTGTACTCTTTTCAAATTCACAGATGCCACACTCCTACCTACCAAGCCTGTGGTGTGCCACAACTAAGTTTAGCCTCGTGCATCACATCTGAAATAGCCATCTAAACCACAGAGGGAAATGATGCCCCCACGGTTTCCTAGATCTATGCAAAGAAGACACTTCCAACCCCTAACGTTACAAAGCTGTATCAAATTGCCTCAATTCCTTCCCAGATGGGTTCTGCTAATGCATTTGCTGAATTTTGCAATCCCTGTTGGCTCTATCTTTGCCCACTCTCTTGCATGCTCACTACACTTGAGAAACTCACCCAGCACTTGGCTTAAAAAATCTTCAACTTACTCATCAGCTAATAAAAGGGGGTTTTAGAGTTTGCCGGGGGGAATATTGCATAGAAACTTTATTTGCCAACCGCCTACCAATAGCCGATTTCACAGGTGGTCCTTTATCAGATTGCTCTTCAAAAACTACGAGAACTAATCATCCTTTAGGCAGGGAACTACACAGAACTTAAGACTTATATTGGATTATTGTGACCAATTTGTGTCTTAGCCTCATATTCCTTGTAAGGTTGTAAATTGCTCTTATATCCCTTAGAGCAGAATTTTCCAAATGCCACATTCAACAGAATGAATTTCATAAAGTGAAATATACTCAAGGGCTGGAAGGGCTGGCCTTTACGCTGCAACTCTGCCCCTCCTGCAGACTGTTGTTATGATTGCTGTTAGACACAATTCTGCTCTGGCACATAAGGCCAGGAGGAGTCAGAATCGACTAGATAGCGCCCAGCGAGCAGTGGAAGATGGTAACAGAAGATGGTAGCAGTCTTATTGGCAACCTCACACCCTTTTCCAAATTCCTTTATACAGTTGTACTAGTCATTAGAGCTAAAAAGCTGGGAGCCACATCCCTAAAGGAGCCAACTCAGGCTTGAGCACCAAGAAGACACTATAAATGAGTAGTATGCCAGTCACCATGAGTAGCAGTCAGACTCAAGGCTACCCCATGTGCGTTGGAGTGGAGCTGTGCTCCGTAGGACTTTCAATGGCTGACTTTTCTGAAGTAGATGGCCAGGCCTGTATTTCAAGGCACCTCTGGGTGGATTTGAATATCGAATCTTTGGGTTAGTGACTTAACCCATTGGACTATCCAGGTACTGGTCACACCCTTTATAGAGGAAGGGGGCTTTAAAAAGACTGTGGGGAAATTCCATTTTTCCATGACCGCTTGTAACCCCCTTGGCATATATACACAATGAGTAAAATTGGCCCTTCAAACGCATCATTGTCTATGGACCTCAAGGTACCACAAAGAGGTCACCGAAGACCTGTACGGTACAGTCATTACACACATTTCAATGGGCTCATTTCCCTAAAACACACTGGCCTGAGCAACCTTTACCTGTACCGAAGTTACTGTGTGAGATGGGTGCTGGGGCTTTGCCCCATTACCAGATTTTTGAAAATAGGTTTAATGTATTTTCCTCACAACAGTACCTAGTCCACGACCAGCACAAATAGGTGTTCTGGGCTTATTTTGTTTTGGACACTTATTGTAAACCCAGGAGAGAATTCCAGTAAAGCGAAGGAAACCATTCATGGTGTTCTCCCAGGACTCAACGGTCTCTTCCTGTGATGGAGGAGGGCATGGTCTTTGGGAACTATGTGGATGAAGTGCCAGATGGACGCGGAACCGGACCAGACGTTACAACTTGTCTGCGGGTTTCAGACGACTTCGCCGAGGTAGGGCTTTTGGGGGGAAAGAGGGAACTTTACCAGCCCGCCGGAGCGCAGCTTTCTTGCTATAACAGTGCACCCCGGAGTAGGAAATTGCCCCTGCCCGCTGGCACGCGTCCCGGGGCTCCTGATGAAACAGTGGCCCATTGCCCACCCCCCAGATCCTGGACTCCAGCCCTCCCGCTGGGGCGCGCAGCGCTCCCATGCTGCGGCTCCGCGGCCATTGGTCTGCGGCTCGCATGCCAGCAGCGCCCATTGGCTGCGGGGGGGCTGTCCACGTGAAAGGGGGTCTGGGATGGGGCCCGCGATGGGCAGAGGTGGCCGGAAAGTTAAAGGGGGCAGTTGGGCAGTGGGGAGCCGGAGTCTTGGCGAGAGGCCCCGGGAGGAGGTGAGCCGTCTCCAGCGCGGATGCGACTCCCTGCGGAGGGCGCCGAGCTGAGCCCCGGCCCCCCGCTCCTGCAGCCCCCCGCAGCTGCCCCTGCCTGGGGGGGCGCAGATGCCGCCGCGGGCCGGCGCCTCTGCACCCCCGGGCGTCCGAGCGGCCGCAGGTACGCGCCAGTCCCGGCGAGGGCGCGCGGTCCCGACACTTCCGCCGTCGAACCTCCAGGATCCCTCGGGCGGTGGGGCAGAAGGGCCGGGCCCGGAACCTGTGGCTTCCCCCAGGGAACCGGGAGTCACGTGGGTCCCAGGCCGGGGCGGGGCCGCCGCCGCACGCCCACTCTCGGGCCCTCTCCGCTTGGCCCGCGATCCGGCCGAGGCTGGCAGCGGGCCCGACAGTTCCCGGGGTGTCTCCGGGGCCCCTGCACCGAGTTAGGCGGCGGGGCCGAGCACTTAAGGAAAAGTCCCTCCGCGGGTCTGTCTCCAAGCCTCAGTTTCTCCGGAAATGCCCAGGAAGCCACTAGGTATTCTCCCCGGGCCTCACCGGGCTGGTAGGACGTGAAGCGCTGCTGCGGCGACCCCCCGGCCCACCCCAGGCGTCCCGGGGTGGCGAGGCTGGGCGACTGCGCGGGGGCGCTCGCGCGACGCCGCTCCAGCCCGGCGGGAGGGGACCTGGCGCGCCCCGCCCAGTAAACTTGAGCTCCTCCTGGCCGTGGCCCTCCTCCCCCTGCCGGTCACAGCTCCAGGAACCCAGCCCAGGCCCAGCCTCCAGGACACAACGACGCTCACGTACTCGGTGGCAGCGCTCGTCTTTTGCCACTTCCCTCCAGGCTCTCTGATGCAACGAGAAAGCTGGGGAGCGGGCTTCTGCGCTGCCCGAAAGGTGGGTGCAGGACGGGAGGGGGTAGGGCAGGACTTTCGTGGAGAGCCTGGGGCCCAGTGTAGCCCAGGCAGGCTTGACTGAGAGTGGGCAGGGACCGAGAGGGACCTCCAGGCCGGTCCCTCCTTACCACTCTTTGGGGTTCTGATCCTTACCTCCTCTTGAATTTAGAAAAATGTGAAATGAGCATTTACTGGAAAGATTTAGGGCCTGTCACTCAAGGCATTGCTTTCTGAACAAGAGGAGAAAGGTGTTCCGAGCCTGTGGGTTGTGTCATCAGCCTCCTGGGAGAGCTAGGGTCCAGGAAAAGAGAGAGTTAGGACTTCAGGGTGGAGTGAAGAAGATAAAAAGGGAAGTGGTTCTTTAGGCGGGGTTGCCCAGGAGCCAAGATTAAAGCGAGGACAGCTGGGGGACTTGCCACAATAGTAGGCCTTAGGGACGTGGTAATGGGAAGAAGACTCACGGGCTTTATTAACCATGACGAATGTCCGCCCCGACGCAGGATCTCAGAGAGGAAACCTCAGCTCAGAGAGGCTGAGTGACTTGCCCAACTGAGACAAGTGAGTCCAGCTCTTCTACCCTCCCACTGCTCTGTGCCTCCTCCGGCAGCTCATGATTCCATGGCACAGAAGGACCGTGCCACCTGAATTTCCTCTTTACGCTGTGAGCCCTGATGATGCAGTGGATTAAGCATTGGGCCCCACGCTACCACGGGGTTGGTAGTTCAAAGCTGTCAGTTGTTACTCTGGAGAAAAAGGAGGCTTTCTGTTCCCATAAAGATTTGTGGTCTCAGAAACACGAGGGAGCAATTCCACTTTGTCCTGTCTGTAAGTTGGGGTCACCTCAGTGGTATGGTGTTTTCCTGTAACATGCAGTCCATTTCCATTCCCATTATTGTATTTGGAAAAGGTTGACCACCGCCGCCCCCCAATACTGTGAGACCTCATTTTGTTGCACATCGCAGATATTGCTGGCTTGGGTTTTTTTTTTCCTTTTACAGATGGAAAGTTTGTGGCCACTCTGTTGAGCAACAAGCCTGCCAGCACCATTTTTCAAACAGCACGTGTTCACGTCGTGTCTCTGCACCATGTTTCGGTGATCTTCTGATTTTTTCTTCACTTTAGCATCGTGCTATTGCATACATGATAGAGTACAGTATAATGTACATGTAACTGGTGTGTGCCTCGGGAAACTGTAGCATTCATGTGATTGGCTTATTGCAGTGGTCTGGAACCTAGCATGCGGTCTCACCCAGGCAGGCGTGCACGAAGGGAAAAGACTTCGACTTTCTCCACACTGTCTCCGTTGAACAAGCTTTTAGAGAGGACTCGGGAAATGGCTGAAGGCTGTGTTCCAACTATGTAATGTAGTTTTGAATGCCTAGCTAATGATTTTGATCTAGTGGGTTATTGGTACATCCAATGTTTCTGCCTTATAACAATATAGTCCTGGTGGCATAGTGGGACATGAGTTGGTCTGTTAACCGCAAAGCCGGAAGTTTGAACGCACAGAGAAGAAACCTTCTGCTCCCATGAAGACGTACAGCTTCGGCAACCCTATGAAGCAGTTCTACTCTGCCTTGGCGGCTTCATGTACATTATCATGAATCAGAATAAACTTGCTCTCAGTGGTTCAAGAGAATAGAAGAGAAAACGCCTTGGCCTAAGTTTAAAAAATAGAAAAAGAAGAAATCAGCTTCCTATAAAAGGCAAAGCTCAGACAGCCCACAGCTCTGCTTCCCTCGAGAGCCTGAAACTGCAGAGATCATGGGGCGATGTTTCTGTACAGGTCTATAGTTTCACAAGAGAAGCTGCTATGATCTCTAACCCTGGCCAGCTGTCGGACAAGGTGCATTATTTATCCCTACTGGAACAGAGAAAGCATTTATTCAAAGCTCTCCATGTTCACCCTAGCTTTCATAAAGTGTTACAATCTGTCCTCTTTCATCGAGGAACACTGAAGTCAGCCCGAGTGCCTGACCCAGGCCTTCCCTGGGCTCTGAGGCATCTCTGAGAATCGTAACTGGCCTGAGTAACAACTGTCCCTTCCTTGTAGCCAGACCCTGTGTCGCACTCTGCCTGTGCAGCTGTGTCCTTATCGTCTAGTTGTGGTTTCCCCCTTGGCCTGGTGGCAAAGTGGGTAGGCCCTGGGCTGCTCACGGCAAGGTCAGCAGCTCAGGCCCGCCTAGCCACTCTGCTGGAGAAAGCCGAGGCAGTCTCTGTTCTGCCCTGTCCTACAGGGCAGCTCTGGGTGGGAATCCAAGTCCTGGGTTGGAATCCAAGTCCTGGGCTGGAGCAGCGGAAGCGGAGGCTGCCGTACGGCCTGGCACTCCTGTGTTGGTGCTGATCATTTCCACGCCATTGTCTAGGTCAAGTCCTTTCAGGGGCATAAGAACATATCACTGCATCTTAGGGCTAAGAGCACTCGTCGTTGGGAGTCATCCATGTCCGCCTGTGTGGGTGTTATCGGGGACTTCTTGAGCAGTGGGTCAGGAAAGCTTCTATTAGGTCACTGTGTTAGTTGTACCAGGTTTGGGGGAATCATCAGGTTAGAAATACCTTGATTGAGGTCACAGGGGTTAATGTCCTCGCTTTTGGTTATGGTGACACACAGCAAAAAACGAAAGAGAAAAATCAAGGTATTCTGGGCGGGCAGGGCATGCTTGTGTCATGCCACTGGGGCAGTAGCCCTGGTAGTAACCTTAGGCCACCAAGTGGTTAACCGAACTTTTGTTGTTCATGGACAAATGTTGCAAAACGTACTTTTCCCCCTGGCTCTAGAAAGTGCCGGTGTAATTATTTCATTCGCTCTGGCTCGGAATCACTCTCCTCCCCACGTCCAGTGTCTCGTGTTCAAGTCTCCTGTGGTGGGCACATCGACACTACGGCACCCTAACAGTGAGCTTTTACCCAGGACTTCCGCCGAGTCTGTCTTCTCCTGCAGGAGTAGCACTTGAGAGTGGCTTTAGTGTGTGGAAGTGTCAGCTCCTCCAAGCGATTCCTCTGCTTGCGAGTTTTATTCTCACAAGATCCCCAGGGTTTCCCCATCATTCTCCTGTGAACGTGTGGGGAAGCACATAGGGAGCTGGCTTACAGGCTTGTTGCCGGCCCTTAGATAACTTGAAGTTGACCTTGGCTTGACTCCCTGGAGGAGGAAGTAAGTGGCCAAGGAGGAAGCCACCCTGTCTTAGCTCATAGCCAGGTTCTTAAAGGATTGGCGGGGGACGGGGCGTGGCAAGGACTGTGGGCTGGCTGGTGGCTGCTGGTCTGTGTTAAACACAACAGCAGCAACAAAGCACCTGCCTGTGCTGGAAGTTTCATTCCAATGTATTCTAACACAAGTTTTGCAACGGCCAGGGGAACACTGTATCTCAAGTAATGTTTAAGTATAGGTGTTTTTACATTGAACCCACTAGTCACCCTAGAACCCTCTCTGAGCCCATTGCACCCAATTCAGTCAGGGCTTTTCTCTCCAGAGCAGCGGTTCTCAACCTGTGGGTTGAGACCCCTTTGGGGGTCGAACGACCCTTTCACCGGGGTTGCCCAATTCATAACAGTAGCAAAATGACAGTTATGAAGTAGCAACAAAAATAATGTTATGGTTGGGGGTCACCACCACCTGAGGAGCTGCATGAAGGGGCCGCGGCATTAGGAAGGTTGAGAACCACAGCTCCAGCCGTCGCAGGTATGCGGGACAGAAATGTGCCCCTTAAAATTGTCCCCAGGTGGACTTTGGGGGAGGAGGTGTGGGGAGGGTCTGGTGATCAGCAACATTTTGCCTCATGCTTTTCATCAGCTCCTAGCAACCCTTAGGGCAGGTCTCCAGAACCTCAACTCACCTTGACCCTGTGCAGCCCTGGGAGTTTCTGAGAGGAACTGTTTATGGGAGTAGAAAGCCACGCTTTTTCCCTGCGGAGCAGCTGGTGGTTTTGAACTTGGCACCTTGCAGATCAAAGGCTAACCAGTAACCACTATGCCCCTAGGACCATGGCAGTGAGTTTTGGTTTGGGGGGGGTGTGTTTTTCCCCTCTCACCCACAGCCTCAGGCATCAGGTGGGGAGGAAGCAGTTGCTGCCAGTTCATTCTGACTCATGTTGACCAGTCATAGCTGTGCTCCATAGGGTTTCCAGTGGCTGGTTTTTCAGACGTGAGAGCCAGGCCTTTCTTCCAGGGCACCACAGGGTAGAATTATACTTCGAGCCGTTCATTGAGCAGCCACGTGCTTACACCACCCGGGACTAGGGAAGGCAATGGTGGCCCGGGAGCAAGGGCCCCCACCAGACCACCGGACACCTACACCTCTGTGGTAAAGAGGGAATAAATCCTTGGGAACGAATCCTCTGTATCCTCTGTTCTGAGATGCTGAGACTTGAGATTTTGATCTTGGTTTTGTCATTAATTTTTTTTTAATTTAGCCGACTGTCACCATCAAATTAGAATAGAACTTTGCCATGGGGATAAAAACCAAAGCCTCAACCAAATCTGTTGCCATCGAGCACAATCCCACTCATAGTGACCCTATAGAACAGAATAGATCTGCTCTGTAGAGTTCCCACGCCTGTAAATCTCTGAAAACAGACTGCGTCATCTCTCTGCCTTGATGAGACTTGTAGTTTGAAGCTGGGAATTCACCGAGGTTTCCTCTCTGTGGTAATTCAGGTGGCAAACTTATTTAGCAATGGTGTTGGGATGAGTTTTAGCAAATCTTAAAACATTTGAGTTTTGTAAAGCTACCCTCCTTTCTGGTTGTATAAATAATAGGGTGAGCAGTAAGCTTATTTTAGAAATAAGGAATACCAAATTTCCTGAAATCCTATCAACTGGATATTCTGACATGTTGCGTATATCTTTGGTCTCTTTCCCTCTGCAGAGCCATAATACCCGCCCCCCCCTCCCCAAGTGAGCTCTGTGAGTGCCATTTTATCTTCTCTGTTTTTCACATTAACTCTGGAGTGTGGATCTTTTTCTGTGCCATTTATTCTTCCAAATTACGGTTCTCATGATTATCCCAAAGTGCTAGGTGGCTAGTCTACCACTCATTTAGCCAGATGCCAGGTACTAATCTTGCCGCAGGTACAATAATGCCGCAGTGAACATTGTACCACATAAGCCTGTGGGCAGTTTTAATGATAGCCCTAGGATGAAGATCAGTAAGTAAAGTTCAAACACCAAATGAGAACACTTTGGAATATACACATGCAGATATTTGCATTTATTTTTTTTAAATTCCCTCCTAATTTGAGATGTAAAAGGAAACATAGTTTTGTAATATAAGTTTCTTAAATTCCTTACACTGCTAAAGTTGACTGTTTTGCAAACTTATCACCGCTTTGACTTTTTCTGTCATGAATGTGCTGTTCCTGCGTGCCTTCGCTCACTGCTCATGCTTCGACGTGCACTCTGCTCTCTGTGCGATCCTTGGTTGTGGCGGTGCTTTGCTCTTTCCTTCGCGAGGGCTTAACTTTGCCACTGTGTTTGTTGTAGTGTTTCCCCAAGTTGTCTTTAACTTTCTGGTTTTATTTCTTTTACAGAAAATGATGACTTATGAAGCAGCGTTAATCGCTTTCCTTTAGCATGACTTTCTGTTTATCTTAGAAAAGCTATCGCTGCCTGCAGAAAAGACAAAGATTTACCTGTATGAAAGGCTTAAAAATACTAAATTTCCGATTCGTTCTTTAAAGAACGACGTGCTGCTGTTAGGGGCTGTTAGTAAAACCGGTCCCAAAGGTCCCCAGGGCCGTGATTCCGATGGGAGATGGTCACCTGGTCTTTCTCCCAAGGAGCAGCTGGCTGGGAGGGAGGGAGGGAGGGAGGGAGGGTGGGTGTGTGTGTGCGTGAGAGAGAGAGAGAGAGAGAGAGAAATGGTCAGCCTTTTGCTTAGCAGCCCAGCCTTTAGCCACTGTGCCGCCAGGACTCCTTAAAGCAGTGTTCTCAACCTTCCCGATGGATGCCGCGACCTTTCATACATTCCTCATGTTGTGGTGACCGCCTCACCCCCACCCCCCACCCCAACCATCAAATTATTTTCATTGCTACTGCATCACTGTCATTTTGCTACTGTTATGAATTGGGCGACACCTGTGAAAGGGTCGTTTGACCCCAGGTTGGGAACTGCTGCCTTAAACGAAGCTCCGCAGTACTAGAACCCAAACACCTATTGTCAGGTTTACAGTCAGCGTGTGTCTTCACTACGGAGTCCCAATGTGGCACAACACCTGGCATGTCACTCACTGCCATCGAGTCCGTTCCCACTCGTAGTGACCCCAGGGGACAGGGTTGAACTGCCCCTGCAGGTTTCTGAGACTGTAACATTTGTGGGAGTAGAAAACCACATCTTTCCCCCAAGGGGTGACTGGTGGTTTTGAACTGCTAACTTTGGCTTAGCAGCCAATGTGTAACCACTATGCATATAGTAAATATTAAACCAATATTTACTAGAGCAGTATTGACCAAATGTGTTTCTCAGAACAGCAGTTCTTAAAGATGCTCCCCCCAGCAAAGAATTCCACATCAAATAAGCTGGGGGAGTTGTGCACAGGGGAATTCTGCCGCTTCATGATCACCCCACATTTCCCTACGGAAACCACACCAAACCAGCTGTGCTGGAGTGAGTCCCATCCCAGCCACCCCGCCAGAGTCTGAGCACCACTGTGTCCTGGGGTTGTCGGGGGCTGGCGACTTTTTCTTTCAGGTTCCTCTGGTAGACTCGCAACCGAGCGCGCGAAGTCCTTGACACACACCCCCAGGGGCACCTAGGAATTCCTGACAGGAAAAAACCTGCCAACTTAATTTAAGAAAGGAATTCTGTGTGTTAAATACGTAGCACAAAAGCTTCCACTTTAAGTATATATTTCAGTGACACTGATTACAGTCATCATGTTGTCCAACGGCCATCCTTGGTGGCTTTTCACTTGTCAACATTTACATCGTCCTTTGCCGTTTAGAAATGTATCTCCGTAAGACATTCTACATAGTATTTTCACCTGTTTTCTGACCAAAGTCAACTTGGAAACTAAAGTTGATGCTGGCTTGCACAAAATAACAAATGCATGTTGAAACATTTTTCAACTTACTTTTAAAACAAAGAATTCTGTACTTTATTTTTTTCAGCCCTGAAATTCCCCCACCCTCCCACTCCATGCTGCCCGTCTAAGGAGGCCTGATGGGTTCTACTCCCGTAAAGAGGGATAGTCTCAGAAACCCACAGTTCTACCCTGTCCTGTAGGGTCATTATGAGTTGGCATCAACTTGATGGCAATTAGTTTGGTAGTGTTGTGAGCAACCATTGAGCAACAGACTTCAAGGTCGACAGTTCAAGCCCACCAGCTGCTCCAAAGGAGAATGATGTGGCTGACCTGCACTCAGGAAAGTTTACACAAACCCTAAAGATTCCTTTTACTTTATCCTAGAAGGTTGCTAGAGGAGCCCTGTGGTTACTCACTGGGTTTTGCTCCACATGGTGAGCTGTTCAAAACCACCAGCAGCTCCATGGGAGAAAGACTGGGTTTTCTACTCCCATAAATAGTTACAGTCTCAGAAACCCGCAACGGGTCTCTATGAGTCAGCATTGACTGGATGGCAGTGAGTTTAGGGTGGTTTTTATTTGTTTGTTTTTCTTTGGGGGGGTTGTTTGTTTGTTTGTTTGTTTGTTTGAGAGGGTTGCTGTACATTGTAATTAACTAGAAGACTGTGGGTTTGCTTTTGTTTTGTTTGCGCTTTTAAGTTCTCTTGAAACCAGTGATGTATTGAGCACACTTTGGTTAATACAGACGGTCAGTCCACCTACCAGTGCCAGCCAACTCCTATTCATCCTTAATGTTCTGTACACCTGCCCTTACTTTGAAATGATCTCGCCAACCCCTACTGGCAACAAATTCTTCTCTCACAATCACCTTCACTTGCTGCACATTCATTAAATCACTGGAAAACCCTTGAGCATTTCCTTGCAATAAAGTGAGGCTAAATAAGGACTGCATGCACCTGTTTTCAATTACCTGCAAATTCCTGAAGGCACGGTTAGGAATGTCTCATTCACACCTGGGGACTGCCTGTGTGGAGTGGAGCGGGGCTCAGTGGACCGAGGTGAAGGGAAACCGAGGCGATGGATGTCCGCCTCGGTTGGAATGATGTGTTTTACATCTGCCTGACCTCGGCTGTTTTGTTTTCTGTCTCCTTTCCCTTTTGCTAGGGTTCTAGCCTGCTCGTCTAGCCCGATGATGGCTGTGGACATAGAGTACAGATACAACTGCATGGCCCCTTCCCTGAGCAGAGAGAGGTTCGCCTTCAAGATCTCTCCCAAGGCCAGCAAACCTCTGAGGCCCTGTATTCAGCTGAGCAGCAAGAATGATGCCAGTGGAATGGTGGCCCCGACCGTCCAGGAGAAAAAGGTCAAAAAGCGGGTGTCCTTTGCAGACAACCAAGGGCTGGCCCTGACAATGGTCAAAGTGTTCTCAGAGTTTGATGACCCGTTAGATATCCCCTTTAACATCACTGAGCTCCTGGACAACATCGTGAGTTTGACGACAGCAGAGAGCGAGAGCTTTGTCCTGGATTTCGCACAGCCTTCCGCCGACTACTTAGACTTCAGGGACCGCCTTCAGACCAACCACGTGTGCCTTGAGAACTGTGTGCTGAAGGACAAAGCCATTGCGGGCACCGTGAAGGTGCAGAACCTGGCCTTTGAGAAGCGTGTGAAGGTCAGAATGACATTCGACACTTGGAAAAGCTTCACAGACTTCCCCTGTCGGTATGTGAAGGATACCTACGCTGGTTCAGACAAGGACACGTTCTCCTTCGACATCGGCTTACCTGAAAAAATCCAGTCGTATGAAAGAATGGAATTTGCCGTGTGCTACGAGTGCAACGGACAGACTTACTGGGACAGCAACAAGGGCCACAACTATAGGATCACCCGGGCGGAATTAAAGTCTCAGGGGACAGTCGAGCCACAGAATGCACCAGATTTGGAACTAGCCTTTGACCAGTTTGGAAGCCCTCGGTGTTCCTATGGTCTCTTCCCAGAGTGGCCTAGTTATTTGGGGTATGAGAAGCTGGGGCCCTACTACTAGGGACTGACACGGGCTAGAACCCTGGCTCCTGTCCCAATGGGACGTAGACAGACGTCAAGCGAAGAATACCATGGAACAGCCATTAGGCACAACGTTTTAAGAAAAAGGATCCTGCTCACTTTTTTTTACCTTCAGCCAGCAAATTCAGTCAGGTTTACTTCACAGAACTGGTTTCGCCATCATTCCCTCAGCAGGTTACACCGGAGGGTGTATGCGGCATGCTGGTCCGTGTGGCACCCAAGACAGCCACCACAGAGATCAGAGTGGGTGGTGCCAGACAGGTCTGCTCGTGAACCAGGTCTGAGGGATGCTGATGGGGCCACAGGACAGGGCCTGACCAAGCCCACTGGGGGCGTGCCTGGGCTGCCAAGGGGATCCATTGCGCTCACCTGGGATGTGGAACGCCAGCTGCAAGTGTGGCGCAGTCCCAGCCTCGCCTCCGTGAACCCTCACCATTCAGCTGTGGCTGTTCCCCCAGCCAGGCCTTTCTGCACGTGGCTGCTGCTACCCGAGGGCTGCACGTGACGGCAGTATAGGGAGACCTGGGTCTGATGTTTCACGTTTCTGACACAGCTATGGAAGAGAGATGGGATCTGTTCCTTTACTTCCGGTCCCTCTTTCTGTTTTGTTTTGTTTTTCTGTGCTAGCACATGACTGCAAGCAAGTTCGTGTTTTGCATTTTATTTCCTTACATGGTGCATCTGATGTTCAGGAAAGTGTAATAAAGGCAAATGAGCTTGTGACTGATCGGCATTTCCTTCCCCTCTTCCTGAGCCCGTACATGTGAGCGAAACACCCCTGTTAGGTCTTGTCCCGGCCCTGGGCAGCGTTACTGAGGGCTGGGCTGTGACAAGGTAGGGCAGTCATGAGTGGGGCGGTTTTAACTGTTTGCCTTGGCTTTTAAGGGAGCTTTCTAAGTATTCACATTTCCCCTTGAGTTGCCAGGCAGCAGCTCAATTACAAGATTTCTTTTTACGCAGGTGGCTGACTTGGAACTCTTATTCCACCAAAAGAATTGGGGCTCTCCTTTTCGGGAGAGTCACCTTTTGCACGGAGTTTAGGACACTGATTTGCAGATCCAACACATCCACAAAGCCTTCAGGAAACCCTTCGGTTGGATTGTGCCTGTGATGCACAAAGTCCAGGACACTTTGCCAGTGCCCGGTGACTCGGATGTTCTTGTTTATGGTGTGGGGATCTAATGATCAAGAGAAGGAAACTTCACCAACTCCTCAGCTTCTATTTGGAGTCTTTGCCCACGCTGAGCCATCAGAGATGCGTTGTTCTTCGCCACCTTGGACAAAGTCTGCTGGCTAATGTGATTGTAAAAGAGACTTCTGGGTCATTCATTGTCCAATGGATCCCCCAGGCCTGAACTTTTTCTGGGTAGGAAGGGTGTGTAATTGGGAGTGTTTTAATAATATTTGTGTCTTATTTGTAGAAGGTTAGGGGTTTTACCTTTTTTTTTTTTTTTGAGCTGAGTTAAATGGCCTTCTCATTTTCTTTTTGCCTGACTTACTCAATGAATTTCCTGAAGGAGGCAGGAGGAGGGCTCAGAGCTGGCTGGAGGTCGGTGTCTAGCTCCTGGACAAAAAGCAAAGGGCCTCCCTTTGCTGCACTCGGTAGACATGGCCCGACATCTCCAGGCCAGAAAAGTGTGTGAAGGTCTGGGCTCTGAGACTTTTATTGTTTGTTTTATTTTCATGGTTTTAACTTTCAAATGCTTATTTTCTCTTTTTTTTGTTTGAGTTTTTAAATATTCTCACGTGTTGTTGTTCAGTGTAATTCTTGTTCATAAAAACTGGTGGTTACTAGTCTGAAATCTAGTGCTTTATGTCTGAGGGCTTCTCCCAGCTGAGTGGCACACTGAGATTATATGCTCATGTCATGTAAGGGGAGGGAAGTCAGCTATGCATCCCAAGTTGCAATGAGGCAGGGCTGTATTTTATGTACCCCGATGATACTGATATGCTTGATGATGGCAATCAGAACTGTTCCCAGCTTTAGTCTGAATCAAAGGTAAGCAAAACTGAGTTCATGTAGGTCTTGAATTTATTTTAAGATGCTCACCCCCCACCCCACACCCCATACAGGAAAGGCAAGGTACAAAGTGCACTGTCATGTATATGCTATCACACTGAGGGTAACCAACTCATTCTCTGTTTTGGCAGAAAATGCCCCAAGTGACTGTCGCATAACTCCCAGAGATCCCAAGACAGTAAGACATTCCCTTGTCAAAATTTGAAATATGCTAATGTAGTGATAAGTATCTCTTCTTAACCTTAAACCTTCCTCCTCCCTTCCATCCCTCCACCCCCCTTCTGTGCTCCCAGCTCACTTGGCCTTTTGCTCGGGGCACTGGTTGCAAGCCCCCATCCAGTGCACCTGGGACTCTCTCCTCACGATCAGAAGACAAGTCCTCACCTGCTTGCAAAGACCCTCCCTGATTTAAGAATCTGATTCCCTGACTTCTCTCCTGCTAGTTGTCCCTCAGAGCGGGAGCACTAGAAGAATCCTATTCTTTCTCTCCTGCTCCCTCCTCCCACCATCCCATCGCAGGCTTCCACCTTTGAGCCCCGTGGGGTACTTTATTGAAGGCCTCAGGACTGCTCCGCCCAGCCTCTACTTACTTTATTGCTACAGAGTCTAGACGGTGACCGGCTGCCCAATGGGAGATGGGTTGGCAGCCTCATTTGTAGCTACGGCCCTCTGATAGCTCTTGGGCAACAAATGGCCTTGGTCTCAGTGCCCTTCGCAGATTGTGCTCAAAGGAAGTATCTCACGGAGGAGGGAGTCCTTTTCCCACTGCTTATTCAAGGTCAAGAAACAGCTCCAGTTTTGTTAACAGTTCATTCCCAGGAATGCCCTAGGGAGCATTTGCAAAACTGGTGCAATAAATAAGCTAGACAACCTAAGTATATGTGAGAAATGAGCTTTCAGTGTTTCTTGGGAGTGAGTATGGAGTCTTGCAGTTCTCCGGGAATTAAGACAATTTTAGAGTCAGTGATAGAATTAATTTTATATCACAGATATAGTTTGAAGGTGGTAAGGCATATTCCTCTCCCCATGCGTTTCTCTAAGATGTCTATTTTCAGCCTCTCGGAACTGCTTGGTTGCAATCTTTATCACTTGCTGTTCAGAAGACGCATCGTCGTGTCACATTGGCGTTAAATGGGATATATGTGTCTATAAGCCAAGCAAGAGGGAGCTGGCTCATATTTTGAAGCACCTGTTTTCTGTTTGGTTATGGTGTATGGTTTTCCGCACCCGCTCCTCGGACGGTGAATGGACTCTGGCACCTTCATCATTGGTTTCCACGTGGACAGTCCCCCAACCGGAGGTGGTTTGCCAGCACGGAGGCCCGGCCGCTCCTAATAGCAAGTTGTCTGTCCTGACACAATCACCGACACGCGGGGTGTGAAACTCCACCGGCTGATGGGCCCTGACAGGGTCACCTGATGCCCTTTGGCAGCTTAGTGCCTTTTCCTGCATGAAACTACATTGCAGGGGCCAGGCATGGCCGCCCAGTGGTGGTAAAGCTGGGACCTCGCTTCGCAGTGGTGCTGAGTTCCCCGAGACCGCCGCATTGGAGGGCTTCGGGGGCTGCCGTCACGGGTGCATCGCCTCATTCTCCCTCCGTGTGAATGTAGAACCGGCCACGTGTCTTCATTTCATGCCCGAAAGTGCCTCATCAAGAAACACGTTTGAGAAATAAATATTTTTGTACACAAAGTTCAAGGGGAAATGCACTTTAAAAATAACAAACGGGGGGTGGGGTGGTATTTTGTGTGGTATTAAGTGAGTTGTTTGTTTATATCTCGGAAGTAAAAAGTCAATAAAGATAGAAAAAATGTAATGGAAACGGCCCCTTTCTTGGAGTCTGAGGAAGGGGAGAAACAATGTAAGTCAGTGTGCTTCCACACGGAGAATGGACAGAGGGACAGAGGGATCAAGAGCAACTTGACGCTGAGCTAACATGGTTGTAAGGCCTGGCGGAGGGACAGGAGATGGCCTTTAAGTTGTCAGGACTGTGGTTCACGGTCAGGGCTCAGAGGAACTCCAATCCGGTCTTGTCGCCCCCTGCCTCCTATTGGCCCAAGTGCATGACCCTCCCCCATCTCTCACTTGCCCTTGAAGTAAAATTTGATTCAAATCAAAGAAGGAAATGATAAGGGACTATCCTTTCACCACTTGATCAACTACACACCAATCAACACAACTAACCACCCCCTGAGGGGACTCCCTCCATTAGATGTTCCTGCTTTTCATCCTAAGAATGCTTTGGTTCCAAGATACATTTTATTTTGAAATTCAGAAGAAGGTGAGAATAGGCAGGGGAGCAAAGGGACAGGCCTGGACCAGAGACAGGCAAGAATCGTTCTCCTTGTATAATTGCTTTGCATGATGTGTTCGCCAGAACCCTTTGCGCCTGATGTCGTCTAGTGGGAATCTTCTGCCTGGACTCAAGTTCACAGACTCTACCCCCAGGGAATCCTTGAGAGACTTTGCTGTACATGCGCTGGCTGAGAAGCTGATATTTCAGCTCTACTGGCGGTTAGAGGGTTACCCCCACCTAGGAGCGGCTAATAAAATGTTCCAGCTTTTCTTCTGTTTAGCCAGAGTTATCTGTCTCTTGGCAAAGACAACCTAATTCTAATAACAAAGGGATGGTGAGAGGAAACTGTTGCCCCAAACCAAAGTCACAGGCCAGCGCCACTGGGGGACAGTGCGGACAGATGGAGGGAGGCCAAGCTTGGCACCTGATACATCATTGCCAAAAATAAGCCTAGGAGTGACCTGCCTTTCTCAAGATTGTAAACACTGCCCACGTTGTACTTTCACAGAAATGGGGAGTGGGGACCAGGGTGCTGTTTGTGAATATTTCCATATATTTTTCTAATCACTATAAAATGTTTCAAAGAAGGTTAGGAGGGAGAATTTTTCATCTCAGATGTTTGGAGTTTAAAAAAGAGCTCAATAAGTCTTTTAAACATTAACTGCCTCCCTACCAGTGGAGCATTTCTGATATAATGGGCTGGGAGTCTCCTGGTCCTCAGTGGCTGGCTTTCTACTCCTGTAAACAGTTACTGTCTGGGAAACCCACAGGGTTCACTATGAGTCAGTGTTGACTGAATGGCAATGAGTTGAGCCTATATGTGCAAGGCAGTTCTAGGTGCTTTTGTTAACATCTGTCAGATGTTCTGCTTCCTGGTTTCAGGTAACCCCCCTCATAGCCCACATGGCACCGGAGGATCACGACTCTGGGGTCTGGTATTGGCATTGCCGCTGAGCTTCAGCTTGTGTACCACTTAACTCTCAGAAAGGACTCTGGGTGCTGGAACAGGAATAAGGTATCCAAAGACTCTAGCAGTTCCCTCGGTACTTTGAAGAATTGGCCAGTGTGGTGGGACAGTGGATAGGAGTTGGGCTGCCAACCACAAGATCTGTGGTTTGAAACCACTGGCCACCTCTGGGGAGAAGATGAGGTTTCCTATCTCCAGAAAGACTTAACCAGGGCAGCTTTCCTCTGTCTTTATCAAAGTCACTGGAGTAGCCAGCATTCCAGGTAGTAGTGCTGTCAGACAGCAGGGGGTCCAGACAGCCTCTGAGGACAGACAAAAACAGAGACCGGGTTGAGTGGAGAAATTCTAAGTTTATTCCCAAAAGCACTTGCAGAAGGAGAGCAGCCAGGCTGGTCCTCTGAGCTGTTTCAGCGTTCAGTCCTGACCCCACAAGTTCATACACAAGAAACAGGTTTTTTACAGTGACTTTGGGAAGAGGTTAGCAGGTTTTTACAAGGTCCCAGGATATAATGACCATTAGGAGATTATGTGTCCCTACATTTTTCCAGGGGTCATTAGACCCACCCCAGCTCCATTCACTCTGGGCTATCTAAATTGGTGTCTGCCCCTTTATCTTCGTGACTTTGTTAGCCACCTTCCCAAAGTGACACAGCCCTGCTGATTAAGTTTAAAAGGCATTTTTACTCTAAGGGACAGGACTGTTACATTTCGGACTTTCGACAACCCAAATCTTAAATTATGTTCTTTTTCTAGGATTGATTTTCCCTGTACCATTAGTGTGGAACTTCATAGAAGAGCTCTCGGAGGTAATTGTTCTTGTAGATAAGGGGAGGAAGACCCTGAGTGAATTCCCAAAGTCACTTAGGTGGTGACAGAGCCAAGAGGTCAGCGTAGGTGACCTTTTTGTTGTTTGTTTGGGTTCTTTTTGTTTGTGTTTCCCAAGGAGTGTATTCCAGAGCGCAAACCAATTTCACGGAACTGTGATACTAGGGCGGTGATCAAGAGAGCCGTGCTGCCTGCTGGGGGAAGGCACTTCCCAGTGGAGGAGCACAGCTCCTCTTCATGGGCGATGTATCCCTCACAAAGGGTCCCTCCGCCTGTGCGTACAAGGAACCACGATTTTGTAAGTTAGGCACCAGTGGGCCCAAGTAGACATCAGGTTGTAATTTATAAGAGGAAACTACCAAAGGGGCCTGGGCTTCAGAATTCGAAACCCAGGTGAGAAACAACATTCCTGGTCCCTAGCATGGGAAGGGTGTGGCCTTCATTCCTTTTCCTTATCTCTCACTATGCCCAAGAGAGAGTCTCAATAGGTGCCATTTCCTGTCTATGGAAGAGTCTTGGCTGTCCTGTTTGAGTTAGTGCCATTCACTCAGCAAATCCCGGATGCCCCTTCAGCATCAGGCCTGTGCGGACCACTGATTCAATGGCAGACTCTCAAATGGCACATGGGAAGCCCAAGTTCAATTCCCAGCCAATGTAACTGATGCATAGCCACCACCCATCTGTCAGTGTGTTGCTGTGATACGGAACACATTTCAATGGAGCTTCCAGTCTAAGATGAACTAGGACAGTGGTTCTCAACCTTCCTACTGCTATGATCCTTTAATGTCGTTCCTCCTGTTGTGGGGACCCCCAACCATAAAATTATTGTCATTGCTACTTCATCACTGTCATTTTGCTACTGCTATGAATCGGGCGACCCTGTGAAAGGGTCGTTCAACGCCCAAAGGGCTAATGGCCCACAGGTTGAGAACTGCTGGCCTAGAAAGAAAAGCCTGAACAACTTCCTCAAAGAGCAGCCCGTGGGTCCGATGCTAGCTGGAGCCCTCTTCAGACCCGCGGAGCTGTAGGCCAATGATGCAGGAAGGTGGAGCAGGATGCATGGTGCTCACAGGCTGGTGGATGCACAGTTGTGTGGATCCGAGGTCCGTGGAAACATGGCAGGACACTGACAGCTCTCAGGGTTGGGTGGCCCACATGGGACCCCCTGCAGGCAGGAAAGTCCCAGCAAGCAGGAAAGCGAAGGGTCAGAGAGACAGAGGGAAGAAATTCCCACTGTCTTTTGTATAGAAAAGGCCACACCCCCAGGAAACATCACCAGGCTACCATCTGATTGACAGGTTGGGTTCTTCCCCTACCTCCACACGGGTACTGTCAAGTTGACATAAATCCACCCTTCCCAGGGAGAACAGCAATGATGTCGGATCCTGCATGATCCAGTCAGGAGTGGGCAGCTTTTTCAGTAACGGGCCAGAGAGCACCTATTTTGGACCACAGTCAGTATCTTCCGGATTTCCTTTTCTCTTTGAAAATGTCAAAGCCATTCCTAATGCATCAGCCTAAACAAAAGCAGGCCACGGTCAGTTGAGGAGTTGTTCAGGCAGAGTGTAGCATGGATTGCCACTTAGAGTCCCTCGGCTGAGGCCATGAGTTATTTTCGGTTTCTTTCTGGTTTCAAAAATGGCTATAAAATTTGTGGTTCAAATGGGGCCACTTTTGAGAATGAATAGAGGGTGCTATTAATTATTCTGATGCACTCTGGGCAAAGCGGGCATCTGGCCACCCTCCTGCCGGACCTTGCCACTGCTCACCTGCTCTGGCCGTGGGGACCTGCGTAGACTTTTGAGAGCTCACACACACACACACACACACACACACACACCAGGCCTGTCTTGTTCTTGGTTCGGTCCTGACTGGACAGTGTGGTTATAAGGAACAGTGATTTATTCTGTGGTTCAGGTATGGTTTTGTTTGTTACATTTTCTGCTTCTTTTTTGTTTGTTTGTTTGTTTTGGGTTGGGTTTTTTTTTGTCTTTTCTTTTTTTTTTAAAACATTTTATTAGGGGCTCATACAACTGTTATCGCAATCCATACACACATCAATTGTGTAAAACGCATTCTGCTTCTTAACTGTAGTGCTGGTGGCTAAAAGCCCTCTGCAATCTCCAGTCGATGCACTGGCCACAGTAGCAGATTTAGGAGAGGAAGAAACAGCCACAACAGACCAAAGTCACTGCTACCAAGTTGATTCCGACTGTGGGTTTCCAAGGCTGTAACTCTTGCTGGGAGCAGAAAGCCTCGTCTTTCAAGGGGCAGTCCAACCCATGACATACTCATACTAGGCTTCTGGGGCTGAGCGGAGGAAAGGATCATTAATGAGTTGAATTCATTCCCTACATCTCTTTCTCTCACCCTGTCCCCAACCAGCAGGGCAAAGTAAGGCTTGTGAGTTGTGAGGAAGGGGTTCATTGGTGACAGGGAAATTAGGCTGAATCTCAAAATAGTGCAGACCCGTAACCACAGAAAAAACTCACTGCCTTCCAGTCGAGGTCAATCCACAGTGGCGGGGTCGGGCAGAACAGAACTGCCCCTGTGGGTGTCTGAGCCTGTAACTCCCTCTCAGAGTAGAACTGCTCTTCTTTCTGCCTTGAAGTCGCTGGTGCTGACAAGCTCAGCAGCCCAAGGCATATCCCTTGCGGCACCAGGGCTCCACAGAAAGTCGCACTAAAATGCTCCTGGGATTTTGCCAGCTCCAAGGTCACCACTCTTC